GGAAAGGAAGAAGTTAAGGAGCTATTAGGAGCTGTTAGTTCTCTTGGGGGCTGTTGGTACTCTTGGAGGAGCTTGTCATGTTGGCTTTCCTGATGAACTCAGCTGTTCTCATCAGAGGAGCTTGGGATTTTGTTGTCACTGAGAATGGCTACAGTTCACTTTGGAGGAACTCTGGTCTTTACTCTGGAAATTGTTTTCTTGCTCTAGAGGGGAAGACAATAAATGGTTCAAACTTCTGGAAATGTTGTCACACTGGTCATTCTGACAGAGACTCAGCTGTTCTCATGATTGGATAAGCTGGAAGAGCTTATAGTCACTGATGGGTGCAGTACTTTTTAGGGGCATTCTGGTCCTTACTTTGGAATAAGGATTTTTTTTTGTTCCTCGATTGCCTTCAGGGCACTTTTGGCCAGCGGGAGAGTTGTGAGGTTCAAACTCCAGCAACCTGAGACTGACAGCTTTGTGGAAGCAGCCACTTAAAAGACTGAGCTAGGGCCAGGCCCCCTCTGGTCCTTACTTTGATCATTGCTTTCTGGCTCCACTGCAGATTCCTCAGCCTGCTAGGATAGATCCTTCATCACAATGACACAAATTTTCTAGCTTCTACCACTGACCTTTGGGTCTTCCCAGTGCAGATCCATGAAACAGATTACATGAGGCATTGTCATGAGATTCAGATCTTCAGCTGGATCACGTAGAACTTTGCCAGGGAATTCAGGTCATTAGCTAGATTATTTGGGTCTTTAGAGTGTGGACAGATTTCCTGCATTCTCTCTGTATATGACTTTTTGGGTGACTATTATAAAACAATTTTATAAATTACATGTCCTGTATTGTATTATTCCCTTGTAAGCCCCTAACTTCAACATCCATGTTGGTAACTTACAATTGTCTGGAAGTAGTAACATATTATTAGTGTTTGATTCCACCAGATATTTTTTTGGCAATTCCCTTACTTTTTTAGCATAACATAATATCTTTTGGGCATACCTGGAGTGCATAATAATTACAATCACTCCAGAAGGGATTTCTGGTCACTGAAAAATCACCTGACAAGTGCCTTTTATGCTAGGCATTCTGTTAGAATTTAGTAAAAGGAGGGAAAATCCATGGGTGAATAAAGCATATTATCTGTAGGAGATCATAACTGGTAGGGAACACTAAGAAGATATTCAGTAAACTGTAATTCAAGACAGGCTATAGCCATAATATCTTCCAAGTGCTGAGAATAATAATGTCCTTCCCTGTTACAGACTAATACTGAAACTGACCAATATCCTTTTGTTGATCTCCAAGAGGAAGGGCTTGAATTCAGGCCCCTCCATTTGCCAAGGAAGTATTTATTCCAGTGAGACATCTCCCTGGCCCCGAGAGAGAGAGCTACTCTTAAGAAAGAAGAAAGAAGAAAGAAAGAAAGAAAGAAAGAAAGAAAGAAAGAAAGAAAGAAAGAAAGAAAGAAAGAAAAAAAGAAAGAAAAGCCCAATAGCTCAGCAGATTAAAGTGCCTACAAGCAGGCACAGGGGCCTGGCGTTCGATCCCTGGGTCTGCTGTGCTGGCCCTGCCCCTGGGGCATGCTCAGAGGGCAACTGAGGCTGGGCATAGTGGCACGCACCTATAATCTCAGCTCTCGGGAGGCTGTAAGCAGGCAGATCACTACAAGTTCATCTAGTAGTGAGACCCTGAACATGCTGTAGACCCTCCGCTCCCCAAAGAAAAGAAGAGGGTGGCAGAGATAATTCAGCAGTCTAAGCACCTTCCTAGACAAGCTCAAAAACTCTGGTTGCACGTGCAGGCCCCACATTGAGCTGGCCACCAAGACCAGGTATGGTGGCTCATGCCTGTAATCCTAGAGATGGGGAGGCTGAAACAGGAGGATCACTATGAGTTTGAGCTGCATAGTGAGACCCTGTAAGAAATACATGAAAATTTAAAAAGAAAGAAAGAAAGAAAGAAAGAAAGAAAGAAAGAAAGAAGAAAGAAAGAAAGAAAGAAAGAAAGAAAGAAAGAAAGAAAGCAGAGTAAAAGAGTTTTTGCTTGAAAATCAGGCTTCAGCCTGAAGGAATGGTTCCAAACATGCCCCATCTCTACAGAAAGCCTTCGAAGTAGAGCAGGTCAAATAAATAACCAAAAGAAAGTCTGTGTAGCCTGTCATACTTTCCTAGACAAAAGTACTATTTGCATTTCCCTTGGGATTAGGGGTTTGATCTTCTAAACAGTTTTCTTTTTCTTTTTTCTATTTTAAAAAATGTACTTGTCACAGGGTCTCACTAGGCAGCTCAGACTCATAGTGATCCTCCTGTTTTCAGCCTCCTTAGTGCTAGTATTGCAGGTGTATGCCACAATGCCTGGACTCAATGGCTGGCTCAGCATGCCTGGGGGCAGGGCCGGCATGGCATGTGGTACTGTGGATCAAACCCTGGTCCCTGTGCTTGCCTAAGCAGGTGTTTAGTCTGCAGGGCTGTCTTGCCAGCCCCTAAAGTTTTCTTAATGAGAACTCTAAAAAAGGAATAACTGGTATAAGGTAATTGAAGCTAATTATCTCCTTTTCTAGTGTCAAAGTGCATATGGCCTAGCCATGACTTTAAACAAAAGCAGCTGTGAAAAATTAGAAAAAAACAAACAACTTCAAGAAAAATGTGACTTTTCACTTTCAGTCATATGCATATTAACTAAACAATCTCTGCTAAATTTCAATATAGCTGAGCCATTCATAACTGGGAAGAAGAGTCAGTGGGATTATGGAGTTGAAAAATAAATACATTATAAAGAAATTGGCTATGTTCACCCATCATGCTCTTTTTGCAGTGTTCCCTATCACTATGAAGGCATTACTACCCACAATTGTATAGTTCAAAACCTCAGATTCATATTTGATTTCAAATCATGCCATATGAGAAATGGAACTACCTGAATTGTTCAACCTGAGAAATTAAAAACATTGAGAATCTTGTCTTTTGTCTTTATATCTTTGTCAACTACCTTACAAGAGAAAGAGTAGAATGAACAAGGTGATCTTAGAGAGAATAAGTAGAACATCCAGTTGCAATTCATATGGAAGTTATGTTCAATTTAACAAAAGTAAGAGCTTTTTAATAATTCAAGTTCTTCAAGAAGATAATGGCATCCTTTTTTGCACCTGGGAATTGACCTCAGGCTATAGCACTTGCCAGATGGGTGCTCTGGCACTGAGTTACATTCCTGATCCAATAATGCATTTTTTTCTATTTTTTTATTTTTTAACTAATTTTATTGAGAAAAAAACAGCAGTAAGACAGTTTCAAAACAGGATAATAGGACAGTTACAATAATTAACACATTGCATATTGTTGTCTTCATAGTAGTTATTCAGAGTACAAGATGCAGACATGATATCCTGTCCAAACACTATTAATACAAATCTTTCTTTTCATTGAACTAAGAGAAAGTAACTGTATGTCTATACTAACCATTTTGTATATACAGACGTATATTTTTTCCACTACAAAATAGTCCTTCATTTATATCCCTTTTTTGTTTAGTTTTGTCAGAGATGGGTATTCTATTTCCATTCAAATAGTGTAGGTGCATGTATTCAGAAAAATAAATCTAATATAGTCCACTAGTCCATAATAGTAGTGGGTTATCCAGAAGACTGGCAATGTTAGAAGTTGTTGACTTGAACCTTTTACAGCTCAGCATATTAATATGGCTTTACATTTTATACCTCATGTTTATACTTTTCTGCTGGATGGTTAAGACCAAGATAAAGCAAGACCTATATAACAAAAAGTGTAACTTTTGTATCTGAAAAGGTCAGTCAAATCCCCTCAGGTTTTACCCTGAAATATTGTACCAATAATATACTTTTTAAGAGAACAATAAAGGATTTCCTTCTAGAAGTGGTCAGGCAGAGTCTAAGAAGGACATTTTAAGGTGGAGTCAATTGGGATAAAAGGAAATTAGGATTTAGAAAAGTCTACTATTTACCAAGCCTTGTAATAGATAATTTAAAAGGACTGTATTTTCAGGCCAGCATGATAGCTCAGCAGTCTAAAGCTTAGGCATGATGAACCTATTTGGACCCCAGTGATCACAAGCTGTATCTTAGGCATCTCACACTTCCTGACACAAATTAAGTGCTCAGTATGTCTGTTAAGTTGAATAGAAGGTATGTTGGGGTATGGGACAGGACAAGACAGTTATCCAGGGAAGACAATCCATACTATCTAACCCTCACCATCCTGTATGATATTGGCCACTGCTGTCAACTGCTGACAACATCAGACCCTGAAATCTGTTTTCTCAGCCTAGTCTCTTCTTGACCCCCAGTTACTGGAGCTGCTTGGGCATTAGCCAGTGTCTGGGGTGGGACAGGATCAAAATATCACTGCTCTGGGCTCAGCTTCCAGGACTAACATATCAAGTGAAATTCAGCTGGGATATTGGGCTGAAAGCCCCCATACAGAGCCAGCACACTCTTTACACAAGCCCTGACTTGCCTGGGCAATATTTGGGTGACCCAGCAGTTCAGCTTCCTCCTGAGTTTCACTTGTCTGATCCCCCTCCCTTCCTCAGCTAACTCCCAGACTCTTTCTTTTCTTTATCTCCCATCTCCAGACACTCAAGGCAGTTGAACAAGTCCAGGCATGTTCCCAGCAGCTGCCCTTGTCTACTAAGTGCTTACACAGAGGAGAACTATCTCACCAAGGTTTACAGGATGTCAGCCTAGGTCTCTAGCACTTCAGAGCCTCCAGACAAAAATGGGTAGACTGACCAAAGGCCACGTTCCCAGCCATTCTGACATTGCAGCATCATGACAGGGACATCCTGATGTGATTACTTTCACCACTCCCAGCCACCTCACAGCGACAGCGGTGTTCCCACATTTACCATTTCTGAATGGATAGACGGATCTTAACTACTAAAACATGATTCCTTGGGGGAGAAAACACACTTAAGCAAAAGTCAGACATGCTGCCCAGCCGCCGCCCCTCAGTCCCAACCCTAAACACCACACTCACAGTAGAAGAAATCCGACGCAATCAGAGCTTCACTCCACTCTTTTCACACATATGTGTTGCAACAATAGATCAGATCCGTCCACTCTCATCCCCCTTTGTGCTACGCCTACTTCCCCTCCTTCCCTTGAGGCTCCCAGGACAGCTATTGGGTTACTTGGCATGTCTAGGCGTGGCTATGCAAAGGAGTTCCCCCTTGGAAAGGGACTCTGAGTCTGGGGTAAACAGTGATCTAGCCACTAGTGAGGCAGGAGTTGAAAAGCGCCTGGAAACTGAAGTCAGGGCAAAAGAGTAATTAGCCAGGGAGTTAGGCTCAGCCCAGTCTATGGAAAAAGAAGGAGAGAGAGTTAAGCGCTTAGAAGCAGCTGAATTCAGCTTATCTCTTCAAAGTTCTGTGCGTGAGTTAGCAGACCTGAAGTGTGACAGGAAAAATTAATGTTTGAAAAGTAAGGATTTTCATACACATGGGAAAACAAACAAAAACCTTCCTAGTCCTGGGCCTGCCTTTCTCATCCCTTTCCTCCTCCTTCTCCTTTTATTTCTTTCTGTTTTTAAAATGTTCATGCCTGCAGAATAGTAGGTAAGATTTTGACAGGAGAAAGAAAGGAGATGTGAAACTGAGGAAATAGCACTAAAAATGAAGGGAGAATAGAATCTGGAACCTGGCTTGAATTTTAAGCAAACTACCACCATCTGTATTTCCCTGGATTCTCTATGTATAAGAAAATTACATATTCTCTAAGGTCCCTTCTAGGGACAGCACTTGGGAGTTTATGTCTATGATCCCTCACACAATGGAGAAAGCCTCGAAGGTTGTACTTGGCCTTGAAGAACTTTCAGTGATAACACAGAGAGGACAAAGAAAACAGCACACAGTACAAAAGGATAGGCCAAACTATAGAATATAGTTGGAAGAGAGTAGAATGCAAGAAGAAGGACTAAAATTGAAAGAGTATATAGCTAGGGAAGACATATGCTATTTAGTGAATTGGGAAGGCTTAAGAAAGACAGGGAAGCAAATAGCACTTTAAATGATAAGGAGAAAGGATATTTGAGCCAAGATAGGAGAAGAAATCAAGCAACATGTGATAACTAGATTGAGGGTCCCCTTATAACCTGTGTAGAGGCTATGTACCAGGAGTTCACAATAGGGTCTCAGTACAGAGGCTGAAAAATCTTTGGTGGAAAAGGACAGAACAGGCACTGAGATGACTTTGCATAAGTCCTGAATTAACCCTATTTCTGTTGAGGATTATGTGAATTTATACAAAAAATAGAGTCAGTATGAATAAAGCAATAGAACAATGGCTAGAAGGGAGTACAGGCATACAGGTGTGGGTTATATATAAAGAAATAAGTAAACAAATACACCTAGATACTTTAATGCTCTCTGGTTGCATATGTGAGATAAAAATGAATGCTGGCATTTGGATCTTGGTTTTCAATGTACAGAACTATAAGAGATATATTTAGATTGTTCCTCTCCCCAGTTGATTTTTCTGGCCTCAATCAAATGAAAATAGTCTACTTGTCATTCGCTCTTATTTTTGTTTTGTTTTGTTTTGTTTTGTTTATGCTTAATTCACCCTCTGAAAGATTGTACTTCTGACTGAGAAAAGTAGACAAACCCTTGTATCTTCTTTACATACTACTTTATCCAGCAAAGGCCCAGAAGTATGGCACATAACAACTAAAAGGCCCTGCAATCCTGAATTTTCTACATATATATTTGTTGGTAATACTACTTCAAAGTGAGGTGGTGATGTAGCACTCCCATCCTCATGTCTCAGTGTTTACTTTTTCAGTATTGGGAATCAAACCCAGGGGTAATATCACACTAAGCTCCATGCAAACCCCATACTTTTTTATTTTAAGATAAAGGCTCATTAAATTGTGCAAACTCACCATAATTTCAGTGATCCTCCTGCCTAAACATCCCATGCATAAAGAATTGCAGGCCTGAACAACTACACTCAGGCACATTCAATCGTTTTAATTTCATACACGAAATTATAGTCACAAGGGCTTACAGGCATAAGTAAAATAATATTACATATACTATAACACAGAAATAAGATAATATGAAAAGGGTAGAATAAGAAGTTTCGCATTACCCACATCATCTCTTTCCCAAGTCCAGGAAGCATGTTGTGGAGGGAGATACAGTCCATGAAAATGAGAGAGTGAAGCGAGCATCTGAACTCCTGGTGAAGTAAAGTGAGTTCTAGGCCAGTCTCTTGACTCCCAGTTGGTACTTGCACACTAGGACTACAGACTCATTCCTTTGTGATGTCAGCCCGTGTGGTACTAGGCACCAGTCTAACCTCCACAGTCCTATATTTCAAGCCCACTCTGAGACAAATGGATCTCCTCAGCCCTACCTCTCCAGGCTAGCATTCACAGACTAAGTCTCAAGCCCCATCATAACAGCAAGCTGATCCTTGTGGGTTCAAGTTTTAGGCAGACTTTTGTATCAGGTAAATCCCAGGGGCCCTAGGTTCCAGAGCAGTGTTTCCAGTCAGTCTCCCGAGTAGCTGCAGCACCAGGAAAATCCCCATAGCATCAGACTACAGACTAACACCTATAGACTCAGCTTCCAGTCTTGTCACAGTGTCAGTCCCACACCAACATCCATTAACTCCAGGCTCCAAGCAGTAACCCCCTCCAAGTGATCTTACCTCTAGGTATGCTGCCCTAGGATATAAGCACATCTCAATGAAACCAGACTCTAGGCACATTTTAATGGATTCGGGCTCGAGACTCTTCCTCAAGAGCCCAACAAATATAACAGACATTATGGCATGTATCTAGATGTTTCATGAAAACCTTAGGCACTCATAGGTGGGGCTTTTCAGAGGTGGCTGACTCTAGAGTGTGTGATAACTAAAGTAGTCCAGTAATTAGCTTACATTGCTCTGTATGTGGGTAATATGTATGGGTGGCACCAACCAATATATTACAGCCTGGAAAAGATAAAAAGGAAGATTTGCTCCTGCTGCTGCTGCTGCTGCTTCTAGCCTGCCCTATCAGGGACTCTTTTTCTGCCATTCCCCTCTGCCATGCCACCTTGCCTTGGAGCCAAATATAAACTGAAACCCCTACAAACTGTGAGATAATATCACCTTTCCTCCTTTAATTTGTGGATATTAAATTTTTGTGCCTGTCACAAAATAATAACTAACACAATGGGTGAGTTGTGCTGGCACATGACTTTAACCTCAGCACTCTGGTAGGCTACGACAGGAAAGTTGCCAATAGTGAGCTAAGCTTGGGTGACTTAGCAGCTTAGCAAGGCTTTATCTCAAAATAAAAAATTTAGAAAGCTCAGGGGGAGCCTCTGTCTAAAAGTCTCAAGTACAACCTCCGGTACTGCTAAATGGATGGATATATAGATAGATAGACAAGTAACAAAAAACACAACAGTATCCAACTATATGAAGAGAGACCTATTAGCCATTTCAGCTTCGAGAACACATATAGGGTAATGGTGAAATTTTTTTTAAAATTCCATGTAAAAGTACTTAAAAAGAAAAGCCCAATACCTATGTCTATGCTGTACATAATAGCTAGCAAAAAGCACCCAAAGAATGGCATTATATAATGATAAAGCTATCATTTCATTCAGAAGGCATAGCAGTTGTGATTACATATGAACTCAATCTTGAGACAATATCTAAAGTAAGTACTAATTGAAATAGAGCAAAAAATAGATAATAATGCAGTACTAGAATGAGATTTCAATTCCACTCTTTCTATAGTGCATACAGTAGTCAAATAAAACATAAAGCACCTGTAAACTGGAATGAAATAGATCAAATGATACTAATAAAAATATAGAGATTTTCTATCCAAAAGCAGATAAATGCATATGCTTTTCAGTGAACATGGAATATCCTCCAGGTAAGTCATATGTTAGGGCACAAAATAAATCTTAGCAAATGTAAGAATGTAAAATCATATTAAATTTCTTTTCCAAATCCAATGCAATGAAACTAGAAAGTGACAGGAGAAAATCATAAATATGTAAAAATTAAACAAAACTCCAAAGAACCAATGGAAACGAAAAGAAAATCCAGATAAATGAAAATGAAAGCAAGGGCTGGGGAGATGGCTCAGTGGAATAAGTGCTTCCCTGGCAAGCGCAAGGGTCTGAGTTCAATCCCCAGTTCCGCAAAAAAAAAAAAAAAAAAAAAAAGAAGCAAAACATTCCACAACTTTGTGTATTCAACAGCAAAGTTCTTTTAAGATTGTTTAATCAATCTTGTGTACCTATATCTGGTAATGTGAGCAACTATTTTGAAGATGACAATATGTAATATAACAACCATTGTTAATTTCTTTTTTATTTTTAAATAATTTTATTGAGAAACAAATAGTAATGAGACAGTTTCAAAACTGACTACTAGCACAGTTTCAATGATTAATACATTACATATTGTTGTCTTAGTGGATATTCATTGTACAAGATACAGACATGATATCCTGTCCATAGACACTATGAGAACAAATCTCTCTATTCATTGAATTAAGAGAATCAAGCTACATATCTATCCTATTTTTAATATACAGATACCAAATGGTCATTCATTTGAATCCCCTTTTTTTGTTTAGTTTTGTCAGAGAAAGGTATTCCATTGTCATTTAAATATTGTAGGTGCATGAATTCAGCAAAATATTCCAATATAGTCCAGTAGCCCATAATAGTAGAGGGTTTTCCGTAAGACTGGCAATATTAGAAGATGTTAACTTATAGAGCTCAGCATATTAATATGGCTTTATTTTTATACTTTGTGTTTATACTTTTCTGCTGGATGGTTAAGACCAAGATAAAGCAAGACCTATATTACAAGAAATGTAACTTTTGTATGTGGTAAAGTCAGTCAAATTCCCTCAGGATTTATCCTGAAGCCCTGTACTGCAGTTTACAGATCCTCTGTCAGTGTCAGCCATGTGGATGAGTCATGGCCATTGCTTGACCAATGTGCTCTCTGTGAAAGCCTGAGAGAATGTTTTCTTTCCATGTGACTCTCCTTAGGCACACTTTACAACATCAGTTGCTTTCCTCTATGGCCCCATAATCTCTTTTGATCAGAAAATTTGAGACACACAATTGTTAATTTCTTAGTATCTTGTTTGAGATTCTTTACCATTTTTATCATTCATTTTTGTGTTGCTTATGTCTGCATTTCTTTTATTGTTTTTATTTTTCTCTTTGAAATTAAAAGTGGAAGCTTATTATCATGAATGCAAACATTGAGAAAATATAATTTAAAGATACACATCTGTCTCAGTTACTCTTCTTTTATTGCTGGGACAAATACCCAACACCAAAAATGGAAGAAGGATAGGTTTATTTAGCTCACACCTACTGGAGGTGTCTGTCCATACTCAACTGGCTCCAAGGCAGAGTAGCACATGGCAGAGAGCAACCTTTCATGGCAGTGGCAAAGAGCAAGAGCACAAAGGGTGTGGTAGCAGCTCAAGCAGCTATCTAGTCCCTATCTCCTTACATTGTAATGTGAATCATCTGTCCCAGGGTAGGTGCAGCATCCATACCCACAATAATGAATCACAAACTGCAGAAGCCATACCATGACTGCATGAAGTTTTTGGGGGACATCTATACACAAATCATAACAACATCTAACTTGGTTCTTCCAGAAATGAATAAAATGAGAACAAATCAATCCTATTATCACCAGAAGGAAGAAAATGGCATTTCAGAGCAGAAACAAAAGAAATGAGGACTAGAAAAGTAAAAATTACTCATGAAACTAAGGAAGTTTTGAAAACTATTATGGACACATGTTCAACTTAACTAAGAAAAAAAGAAAAAAGTCATATAAATAAAGGACAAGATATTAAAGCTTATATCACAGAAATACAAAGAATAGTCCTGGTGTGATTCTGTCCTGCACTTATGTTCTGTGGAGCAGTATTCATTCCCTTTCATCCGTGTTCTGTCCCTAAGAGAACAGATATACTTAAAGTATATCTAAGTGAGTGCCACTACTCCATGGAAGATTTGATGGATATGGACATGAGCCCTCTGAGGGCCCAGAACTATCTCTTTGGTTGTGAACTAAAGGCCAACCAAGTTTACCACTTTAAGGTGGTTAACATTGAAAATGAGCATCAGTTGTCATTAAGAACGGTCAGTTTAGGGGCTGGTACACAGGATGAATTTCATGTTGTTGAGGCAGAAGCTATGCATTACGAAGGCAGTCCAATTAAAGTAGCACTGGCAACTTTGAAAATGTCTGTACATCAAAAAGTTTACCTTGGGTGCTTTGAAATTACACCATCTGTTGTGTTGAAGTATGGTTCAGGGCCTGTGCATATTAGTGGACAGCATTTATTTATTTATTTATTTATTTATTTATTTATTTAAAATAATTTTATTGAGAAATAGCAATGAGACATTTTCAAAACCAATTAATAGGACAGTTTCAATAATTAATACATTGCATACTGTTGTCTTCATAGTGGTTATTCATAGTATAAAATGCAGATATGTTATCCTGTCCAAGAAGATACAGAGTCAGAAGAGGAAGAGGAAGAAGATGTAAAATGCTTTAAGTATATCTGCAAAGTGATCTGTCCCTGGAGGTAGAAGCATGTTTCCACAGAAAAAAGTAAAACTAGCTGCTGAAGAAGATGGCAAGTTCTATGAGAATGAGGATGAAGATGAGGAGGATGATGACGATGATGATTTTTACGATGAAGAAACTGAAGAGAAAGCTCCAATGAAGAAATTGGTAGGAGATACTCCAGCCAAAAATGCACAAAAATCAAACCAGAATGGAAAAGACTCAGACCTGTTAACACCATGATCAAAAGTGCAAGAATCCTTCAAGAAACAGGAAGAATCCTAAAACCCAGAAAGGACCTATTTCTGTAGAAGACATTAAAGCAAAAATGCAAGCAAGTATAGAAAGATTGTTCTCTTCCCAAAGTGGAAGCCAAATTCATCAATTATGTGAAGAATTGCTTCCGGATGACTGGCCAGGAGGCTATTCAAGATCTCTCACAGTGGAGAAAATCTCTTTAAGAAAACAGTTTAAACTGTTTGTTAAAGTTTTCCATGTTTTTTCACTTCTTTAACAGTTGCTATCTGGCTATCCTTTTTATAATGCAAAGTAAGAAATTTCCCTACCATGCTTGATAAATGTTGTCCCGGTCCCATTGTCAAGAATGTGTTCTCTGAAATGCCTGTTTAGTTTTTAAAGATGGAACCACACCCTTTATTTGGTTTTAAGTATATATGGAATGTTATGATAAGATATAGTAGTAGTGGTGGTCAGACATGGAGATGAAAGGGATACAAATATACACGTAAAGTAAACTCAGTATTTTAAAAAAGTAAAGAAAAAGAAATGCATAGAATAGTACTGATTACTATGAGATTTTCCAACACCACTTATTGAAAAGAATACATTTCTTCAAGTGAACATGTTTGACTACTTTCTCAAAAATTAGGTGATTGACTGACTTTGGTTTTGTGACTGCTTCTTTTCTTCTATTCCAATGATTCTCTGGTCAGATTATTATTATTATATATTTTTGCCAATGCCATCCTGATTCTGTCACAATAGTTTGTAGTAAAATTTCAGGTCTGGGATTGTGATGTCCTCTAACTTGTCTTTCTTCCCAAGATTTGCTTTTGCTATTGTAAAACTTCTACTGTTAAAAATGAATTTTGGAATGTTTTCTGTAGATCTGTGAAGTATGCTAATGATATGTTGATTGCAATTGCACTAAACTCAGTATTTTAATAAAGTAAAAAAAAGAAATGAAAAGAATAGTACCAATTACTATGAGATTTTTCCAACACCACTTATTGAAAAGAATACATTTCTTCCAGTGAACACGTTTGACTACTTTCTCAAAAATTAGGTGATTGACTGACTTTGGTTTTATGACTGTATAGCAGTTTTGAGAGTATTGCTATTTTCACTATGTTGGTTCTCCTTGCCCAATAATAAGGGCTTTCTTTCCATTTTCTGATGTCCTCTTCAATCGCCATTTTTAGGGTACTATAATTTTCACTTACAAATATTTTAGAATCTTTGTTGTATTGATTCCTATGTATTCCATTCTTTTAGATGCTACTATGAAGGGTATGGTATTCCTGATATCTTTCTGTGAGTTTGTTTCTTCTCTACAGAGATATTATTGATTTTTTGAGTGATGACTTGTATTCTACCACACAAGATTTTTGGTGGATATGTTGGGGTGTTCTATGTAGAGTATCATGTCATCTGCACATAATGATAATTTAATTTCTTCCTTTTTTATCTGCGTTCCAATTTTTTCTCTTCTCTAATTCCTCTGGTGAATATTTTCAAAACTATACTGAATATGAGTGGTGCTAATGGACATTCTTTTTATGTTCCTGAGTTTAGAGTGCAAACTTTCAGTTTTTGACTATTTAATATAACGTTTGCTGTTGACTTGTCATAAATGACTTTTATAAGATTGAAGCAAATACCATCTATTTCTATATTATGTAGGTTTTTATCATTAATTAGTGTTGGACTCTGTCAAATGCTTTTTCTGCATCTATTGAGATGATCATGTAATGTTTGTCTTTGGTTCTCTTAATATGCTATATTAATATTATTACTTTGCATATGTTGAAATGTTCCTGCATCACTGGGATGAATCTTACTTAGTCATTATGTATAATCTTGATGAGTTGCTGCATTCTTTTTGTTAGTATCTTATTAGTTCTCCACAACAAAGGCAAAAACTAGACTTGTGTCTATCACCATGCACTAAACTGAAGTCAAAATGGATCAAAGTTCTAAATATTAAAATAGAAGCAGTAAATTTTCCAGAAGAGAAAGTAGTAATCTTGAAGACATACATGTAGGCAGAGTTTTCTTGAACAAAGTCCAGACTACAGTGTATATATTACAAAGAATAAACAAATGGGATCCACCTTATTAAAAAGATTTCACAATGAAGAGAATCACCAACAGATTGACAAGACAATCTACACAGTGGGAAAAATTATAGGCAAATATCCCTTAGACAAAAAACATATATAAAGAAACATTGAATACAATGAGATTCCCCAAATTCAAAGACCTAACCCAAAAAAATGCTTCTGAGATGAATACACACGTCTCAGGGAAAGAACTACAAATAAAAAAACAATACATGAAGAAATGTTTGATATCACTGCTCATTCAAAAGATGCAAATTAAAAAACACTGAGGGCTGGGGAGATAGCTCAGCAGAATAAGTGCTTCCCTGGCAAGTGCAAAGGCCTGAGTTCAATCCCTGGTTCAAAAAAAGAAAGAAAAAAAACCCTGAGATTCCATATCACTGTAGAAAGAATGGCTATTATCAAAAGATCAACCTATAAAAAATGCTGGAGCGGCTGTGTGAGAAAAGGAACCGTTCCCCACTGTTGAATGGCAGTGTAGATTGGTTCAACCACTGTGGAAATCAGTGTGGAAATTCCCCCAAAAAGTAGGTTTAAAGATCCCATTTGAAACTGATATACACCCTTTGTTATCTTCCTAGAAGTATTACAAACATCATACTATAGCGATATATGTGCACCCATGTTTATTTATTTTTTTTATCTACTACAAATTTTTATTGACATATGACAATGTTATATAGTACAATAAAACAGTATTTCCATTATTGAATGTTTGTAACATCCCCGGAATTTAAGTATCTTACAAATATTTTAGTCAAAAAAGCAATCTCATAAGAGATATTTTAAAATTAAGTTTATTGGTATAATTTAGATAAACAATGATCACATTCATCATGGGCAATTTGAATCTGTATATGATACATCTCTTTTCCTGTTTATTCAATTTTCCTCCCTTATTATCCTCCCCTCTTCCACTTCTTATTTACAAATCTTTGTTTCTACTTTATGTTTTTCTGATTTTCTCTTTTCCCTTCCATCCCCCACCAGTTCCTCTTTGCTTTTGAGCAACTGCTTCCTATTTTACAATATCTATTATATATTTTGGTTCTTAATTACACTTTCAGATCCTCACACCACAGACTGAAATATTTATGCATATGTGTCAGATCTATTTGACCTAAGAGTTTGGCCTCTTCCAGTAGTTTTAAGCACTGTCAGCATTACTTGAAGTATTTTACAATACCTATTATTATAATATAGAATATGAATAACCTTAATGCTATTATACCATTCATTCTTGTAGTGAGATAAAATTTTCTTAGTCAAGAATTAATTTTTCATATATTCCTCATGTATTTTATTTAGAATTTTAAAATTATCCATATCCTGTATATTCATTTTCTTGGGTTTTTGCATCTGAGTTATATAGTAATATAAAACGATTTCTGTCCATTCCCATCATTTTCTGTGCCCTGGATCAGTTTATTTATGATAAGAATTATAGTATTTCTTACTATAATTATATAAAATGGAACTCATTAAAAAACCTATAAATTTTAGAAATCAAAATCCTTGTATTATAACGGAGGGATCATAAGACTAGTTTCCCATGCCTCACCTGGCTTAGCTCTAGTAACCATTCATCTAACTAATCATTTACCAAAGCCTTGGCTTGAAACTAAAAGTACAAAAAGATTTTTCTCTCATAAAGTATTCTTAAAAGTTAGTCAAATTAACATGAAATCTAAATCATAAGTTCATGTCTTTGATTTCTGGTCAGGAATGCACATAAAATAAGGGTTAACACTATGCAATTTTTTAAAGAAAGCCTGAAATATGGAAAGGTAAAGATAGTTAAGATAGTTATACTACTAATTTCTCTTAATTCATTGAAAATAAAGGAAGTACTGGTTGATTATTGGGTGCAACTTAAACGACTACCAACTGGAAAAGTGATAAGACCGTGGTATATTTAAACAAAGAAATATTATATAGCCAAAAATGGTGCCACTGATACATGTAGCAAGAAATTCAACATGTCCTCCACTCTACTTTCTCTTCAGCCAACATGACCACATATTATGCTTGTTATGATTTTCCTGCTGTCTGTATCTTTCACCAAGTCTTATATTAAAGCCCCTTGCCTAGGTAACAGTACATATTTCAACAAACAGGCACCCTTCATATATTCAACCAGATTATTATGTGAAATTCATTCTATAATATCTGCCAAATAACAGTGATTTTATGTTCTTTTCCTAATTCATCCTTTCCCATTCTTTTCCTCGCACAACACACCTGTGTTTTAAAGTACGTCAGAACACAGAAACGTAAGCATATTATGCATCCTTTAATGATGAGGATAGGTCCTGTGAAATGCAGTATGAGGTGATTTCTTCGTTGTATGCACACAGAGAGTGCA